CGAGTGTTCATATTGTTACAATGAACTGCTTTTTATTACAATCATCCCACGGGCTACACTACAAAAGGAAAAGAAGGGGGGAAAGCCAGCTAGATGACAAAGGAATTGGCTAAAAGAGCAAACAGCAGCAACACCCCAAGGTTTCTCTCCAAGCTCAGCAGCAGGAGAGAGAGCGCTGGTTGGTGGCCTTGAAGTCAGAGCTGCCGTGCTCCGAACCACAGAAGCCAGACGTTGGATGCTCCAGATGGTGTCTGTTGAGCTGCTGGAAAAGCAGACAACCTGAGACCTCTTCCAAGAGCCCGTTGTGATGGCGACAGGTCTGAGTGCCAACCAGAAATGCCTGCACCCGGGTGGCTCTCCTCCAACATATGTCCCTGTGTCTCGTCCTCTTGGAACCAGACGCCCAGCTTGATGGCTCTATGTTGAGAAGGGAAGGAACTGATCAGCCTGTGACTGACACTCATCGGGGACACAGAAAAGCAGGAGCCAATCGGGGCGCAGCAGAGTGAAGCGGGGGCTGCCAGACCCTCCAAATGCACCGACTGCTCCCATAAATTAAAGGAGTGTTGCCTCCTGAGTATGTGATGGGTGTGGGAGAATCTTTCTGTGCTGAATCTTATAATGCCAGCCAAGGGTCTGCTGAAGCTAACTGGTGCTGCACTGAGCTCAGCCCAAGGTGGAACAGGACACCAACCAGCTCTAGGGAAATGTGTCCAGGCACTTCCTGATGCATCATGCATGGGGCCTGCTTGCCATTCCTACCCACTCTCCCTTCATGGAGAGGAAATAGCTCACCTTGGTTCTTCTTCTCCATTTACAGAAGAAAATAAATTTTCTGGTAAATTCTATATTTGAGAGAAATTACTTTGAAGTCACTAAAGACTTTAAATTCACACTGACCGCAAACACACAGTTCATGGTAAAGAAGCCTTGCACCCATGAGACCATCAGGGTATTTTTAAATAAGAGTTTTGTATTTTTTATATATTATTTTATAGGAAATTTCTTGCTGGGTGGGCATGGTGGTACATGCCTCTAATCGCAGCATTCAGAGGCTGAGGCAGGAGTGTCTTAGTCCGCTCAAGAAAATTACAGACCGCCATGCACATGGAGCCAAGCAAGAGTCCTTTACTTAAACTGGTGACTGAGGACAGGCTCTTATCACAAAGAACTCAACTTTCAACTCCAATGCCTTTTTACAACAGATCATTCCCAGCAAGGAAGGGGGTACCTTTTGATCTGTTGAGCATTTTACAAGCACTGATTTTCAGAAGAAAGGAAAAGCCTCATTAGTCTGTCACGGCCGGATCTGGAGGGGAGAGGTCGGTCAGAGAAACCTGACGTCTCTGAAACCATTTCATGAGGAATCTCAAGTTCAAGGACAGCCTAGTCTCCACTGTGAGTCTCACACTGGCCTTTGCTATAGAAGGAGAAGCTAACGCAAACAACAAAAATGTACATAGACATAAATCTTTCAGCATTTCCTTCACCATAATCTATGCAAACTTCCCAACAAATCATGCCCTTCTCCATAAGAGGACAGATGCCTGCAGTAATAACCCACTTCCCCTCTCCAAACTGGACTTTATCAGCTCGCCTGAGGCCCAAGTGCCAGAGTACAGGGCCCAGAAAAGTCCAGGTAAGGATTTCATTAAGGAGAAATCAACAAGTTGTGAAGATACTCGGGACCTATAGGACCAAGATCCGGAAAGGGTGTTAGATATAAACAGGTTTAAACCTGTTTGATAGTAAATGAATTCAGGACCAGTGGTGTCATGACCCTTGTTACCACACCTGATAGCTTGATTTCAACCCACAAGACCCTCATGGTGGAAGGAGAGAACAGACTCCCACAGGTTGCCCTGTGCTGTGGGAACTCCGTCAGCCAATAGCCTTTAAGATATGGGCCCAGTTTGGGCGTGGTCTCGTGAATTATAAATGCAGATGAAAAGCACGTGCCGGCCTCTTGGCTGCTGGATTCGGTTCCAGTTCCCAGAGCTTGCAGAGGCCTGCAGATCGCTACTCTTTCTGCGAGTTCATCTCTAGATAAATAAATCTTGCTAGTCTCCATTCTGGGCTACTATGGAACTCTTGTACACTAACACCCCTCAAATTTCTAAACTCAGCAGTGTGCACCCCCCATACAGAAATTCAATAAAATAAATACATATTTTTATATAAGTAATCTCAGTTATGCTCATTGCTTTGGCCACTGTCATTACTAACTCCATATCCTCAGCACTAAAAATAGTTCCTCACAGGCACGAGAGAAGCAGGGTGCATCACGATGAAAGAATTACTCCACTGGGGGCCAGGAAAAGGGACATGTGCAGAAGATACAGACAAGAAACCATTGTGTTCAGTGCCTGCTGCGGCCACTGGGGTCCGTCTGTGGAATCGACTGAGTATATTATACATGAAGAACAAAGACTGCCATTTCTTCTAGCACTCTCTGAGCTTCCTAACAGGAAAGGGAAGGTACGTACACTCGCCCGTGTGTGCACAGAGGCGTACCTTCCTTTTCATACAATGCATTTCACATACAGTGTTTCAGTAAATGGTTCTATCAGCCAACTGTGGTCTGTCTCCAGGGGGTGGGCGCTTGGCTCTCCATCTCCCGCCATGCTTTTTACCCATAAGACAATCACATACAAAGACAAGCCACTAAACCAACGCCTTGCAGTAGGCTTTCCTCTTGGGTTTGTATTTTCCCCTGACTTAGGAAACTTTTGGAAGCAACACTTTATATGACAATTCTTGATTCAACTTTTGTCAGCCTCATACCAAAGCTTGAGATATAGATCCTAGAAGTTAAAACGGAAAACTCCCACACAATCTCCCTTCCTGTTGCACATGACAGGTTTACCTCTCACACTGCACCCTGGTGTTCAGAGACCCACACACAGCATCGCGGTGCGGAACTATGTTGGACTCCTTTTGCTGCTGTGATCAAACATTTGGATCAAAAGAAGCTTGGGAGAAGCAATGGTTTATTTGACTTCAAGTCAGAGCCAGAAATTCAAGCAGACAATGTGGGAACTCAGAGCCTTGTGCCACCTTCGTTTTTCAGCTCAGGACCAGGAGGTAGAGAATGGTCCCACTCACACTGGGCTAGGTCCTTCTAACATCAATTAATAATTAAGACAATCAATTCCCTGCATACATATCTACAGGCCAAACTGACCAGAGCAATTCTTCAACTAAACCTTCCATCTTAGGTTGATGCTAGGCTGTATCAAGTTGGCAGTCAAACCCAGCGAGAACAAGAACCAAGAGGAAGGATGCAGGGGTCTGCCATGTAGCAGAAGAACATGGGCTGTCGGACAATCAGTTTCCGTGTTGTTGATGTTCAGTACGTATGCCATTGGTCTGGATAGCCAATCCGGCATGCTACTTTTAGGGTAACATGCAAGGGAGCTGTGGTTTAACATCCTGTCTGCAGAGCCTGAAATCTGAAAAGGATGCCGTCGTCTCTCCCAACTTTACACCCACAATCACATTTGACAAAAGTATAAGCAGTTTTCAGAACCAGTTTTAACAATAAATCTACACTCAGACACATGACATGTTGCAGGCTTCCTTTCCCAGGAGGGAAACTGATCCTTTCACACAGGCATGCTGACCAGGTCAGAGTGTGGCCGACTTCTAGAACACGGTGCTGATCTGCAGAAGCATGTGACCCAACTCTCGTCCAGTTCTCACATGAGGACACAACGATGACTAAGAACCTTTCCAATCCCAGGGTAGTAATGAAGGAGCCAGGGTCCCACAAGCTGGCCCAGGCGGGGACCTCTACTGTGGCACTGAGTGCTCACCAGGATCCTGTACTCAAAGCCTGACAAATGGCAGAGTACAGGTCTAAGTGGCCCAGCCCAGTTCCAGCCCGGCCTCCAACACAGGCTAACTTTGAACGTGGGCAAGGTTTGTGACCCTTTAAGAATCCCAGCGTTTTTCAGTCATTGACACTCCCAGACGCTGCAATAGACAGGAAGTCACAGTCAGTTGTGGAGGTTTTCCCCCTACCCAGTGAACAGCAGGTGGACGGCAGATAGCAAGTTTGTTTCAGCTTCACAGTGAACCTGCTTTATTGGTGTTCAGGAGCTAACTGTGGATTGGAATGGAGCTGACTGATTTGCTTGGGAATCTTGCAAGCCAGTTTTTAAGTCAGCCATCATTAAAGATAGAGTTAGATAAGTGTAAACAAACTGTATCAAAAGAAATGTTAGGTATCAACTCTGGGCATTTCCTAGTTAGACTTCACGGTGACACCGACGCTGCTCTTGAGATACTAAGTATCTATGTCATCTGTCTGGCGGAAAATGCAGAGGGGCTGGCACCGATTATCCTGCAGCCAGTGATGTCATACTATAGCCTGGCATCCGCGGTGGTGGGAACATTTACATGGAAATGAGCAGACATAAATCAGGTGCCCTCTTCAGAGAGCCAGTTAATAGACAGAGGATGTGAGCATGCCACCCGTGTGGGCTTTCATCTCAGGCTTTCTGCTCTGGTATCTTTCATCTCCCCTCTGTACAGTTCATCTGTGCACATACGGGCCTGCACTCCACACACGAAATTTAAAATAAAAATGCAAACAAAAGCCTAACATATTCTTCTATTTAACATCTTTTCTACTCATTACGTCATTGCTGGTTCTAGTGAAATCTTCTTTCCTTATGCTTGATTGTTGATGTCAATGCCCTCTTACGGCCCACTTATTTTTTTTTAATCTTACAAATATTTAAACAACTATTAGTCGAAGACTGCATTAAGAACTTGGAGTCAACTGCCAAAAACAGAGAAAGCTTCCATTCTCAAGATGTCCACAGTCACTCCAGACTAACTTCCCAGACCACCAGGGAAGTACCCAACCCATAGCCAAGACCTTGGGGGACAGAAGGCTGTCCCAAAGAGCTCACTCAGAACTTCAGATCTGTAGACACTGTGGGCTGCAGCACCCACCGGGCAATGCACAACACAAGAAAGGAATGTGTACCTACCTCATCAGGGACCACACTGCTCCTGGGGACACAGAGAACCCGCTGCTCTTGGGCTCTGGTGGCAGTGGTGAATGGCAGCCTCCCCAAGCGTCTCTGTGTGGGACGCGCTGCTTTCCTCTCTCACGGTGCGGGTGGGCATGCTGAGAGGAGGGCTGGGCGCTCCCTGGCTGCTGTGGGCTGTGCTGACAGATCACCCCATTGCTCCTAATAGTTCACAGAATTGAGGAAAAATCAAGTCAGACAAAATGGCAAGGCTTGTAACAAAAGAAGCAGCCTCTTGCTCCCCTAGCTGAGATTCCTAAAAGGGTGTGTTTTCAAATCTCCGAGTCTCCTGTGTCTGCTATTTGCAGCTGTCTACTTTCAAAAGCAAAATTGCACTATCCAATTTTCCTTTTCAGTTTTATTTTTACCAGCACATATTCACTGTGCATGTTGCTAGGTTTTGTGAGAATATTTGCATGTAAGTATACGATGCTTTTTAACACACGCCCCCATACCCTCTGACCCTCACTTCCCTCTCAATTTACTCCCCTTCATTCCCGAGACAGTCCCAAGTGAATCTTACATGCATGCATACTACATATATATATATATATATATATATATATATATATATATATATATATACACACACACACACATACATACATACATACAGCTATAGAACCCACAAATGAGAGGAAAATACATAATTGTCTTTCTGACTTAATTCACCATGTATGATGACCTCCAGATACGCCCATTTTCCTACAAATGATATGATTTCTTTCTTCCCTATGGCTGAATTCCATCGTCTATAAATTCTACATTAACTTTACAGAGTCCTCTGTTGGTGATAGGCATCCAGACCAATTCCACACCCAGCTGTTGTAACCGGTGCTACAGTAAAGATCCATATGCGTGTCTCTGTGGTATGTTGACTTGGAATTTCTCTGGTAAATATCCAGAAATGCTATAGTGGGGTTATATAATAGTTCTATCTTCGCTTATGTTAGTTAGTTAGCTAGTTAGTTTGTTTGTTTTGCTTCGCTGTTAGGCGTAACCATCATACTGTTTTCCAGTGGCTGGGTTGGTCTGCATTCCCACCAGCGGTGGGTAAGTACTCTCTCGTCTCCACAGCCTCATCAACATTTGTCATCTGTTTTCTTCATGACTACATGTGAAATGGTAAGGAACTATGGGTTTGATTAGAGAGGGAACTTCTACAGGCTTGAACTTCTGATACCCCCAGTCACACTTAGCATCACTATCCACACACAAAACAAATGGATTTTACAGTTGAGGAGGAAAGTGGGTACTCAACAAGCCTTCCCGTTAACTGAAACATTACACGGAAGAGCAGAGACTGGCTCCCACCAACCTCCTAAAGCTCCTTAGGTCACACAACTCGAGCAAGCAGACAGGGTCCACTTTCAGGGAGCTTGCTCACGGGTAACAGCCGTCAGAACTTGGGGATTCAAAACAAGCTGCTAACACTTACCAGATCATAATATGATTTTCTTTGTGAATCAGGGTTCCCCCAACAGGACACAACCAAAGCAAACCAGGAGGGCAGACTGGCAGTTCATACAGCTTCTTCCCATTCCAGATGTGACTGACTGTCTTAGAAACCACAAGCCAGAAACCCCCTTCCTCCTTCAAGCTACGATAGTCAGGTTCACCGCAACAAGAAAAGGAGCCAAGATGGCAGCGAAGGCTGGAAATGACTTACAACTTATCCTGCTTGTGGGACGGGGAGAAGAGGTCGTAAACCAAGCACACGCCAAACACAGTCACGCCGGTCTCCTTCACCAGCATGGCACAGGTCCCCAGGAACAAACTGAGCAGCAGGAAGAAGGGAGAAGCCGTCGGGGGGAAGCTCTGCTCTGCACAGCCCTGATCCAGACTTCTGCAAAGAAAGTCGGGCATTTCCTTACCAACACATGGAATACCATGGGACAGTACCTGCCAGCCATGCATCTAGTGCAAAACAAGGCAGGGAGCGGATTCACCATGCAATTATCCAGAACTGTTAAGATGGTGGGGCCGGAGAGATGGCTCAATGACTAAGAGCTCCTGCTCTGTTAAAGGGAGTTTAGGTCCCAGAACCCACATCCATCAGCTCAGAACCCCAGTAATTGCAGTTCCAGGAGATCCTATGCCTTCTTTGGGCCTCCTTAGGAACACACACAAATGTGCACGGACACACACACACACACACACACACACACACGGATATATTTAGTAGATAGTAAGATGTTTAAGTGAATATGTTTCAAGCAAATAACACACACTCCTAACAAGTATGCATTGACCGAGAAGTCAAATTCCCTGGTACAAACCACGAATGTGCAGTTAGCAAACAGAGTACAAAAGCACGGAAATGGGAGAATTAGTATGGTAGCTAAGTGCTGTGGGATAACGCTCTTGAACATTGTAAACATTTGTCACTCATATTGGGTTAATAAAACTCTGATTGACCAGTAGCCAGGCAGGAAATATAGGCGGGGTGACCAGACTAGGAGAATTCTGGGAAAAGGCAAGGCAGAGATGCAGTCACTAGCCATATGCAGAGGAAGCAAGATGAGAATGCCTTACTGAGACCGTGTCCTTGGGGTGACTATACTCCGCTCTGGACCTGTTATTGCCTTGCTCTATCTCCTGTCTGCCATGGGGTTTAAGTATTCACTTCTGCAAGCTCTTACATTCTGTTTGGATACAAGGGGCCAACCAACCATGACTAAAACTTTGAGCCAAAATAAATAATTCTGCCTTTAGGCTGTTCTCTCTGATATCTGGACCACAGGTATGCAAAAGTAACTCTTATGCAAGAGGAAGAAGGGAAATTGTTGCTAATTCAATGCCACTGGTTTAGAACAGTATTCTTAAAAGTGAATCACTGGGCTTCGTAAGTTACAGGTCATCAAATTGATCCAAAGGTCAAGTTTACAAATTCCCAGCCAGCATTGCTCTATGAGGTCAGTTTGTATAGTTGACCTGGCATTTTTAGGGAGACGTCTCGAGTGCTCTGTCCCAACTCACATTTTCCTAACTCATTCTTTGCTGAATGTGGATGTCACAAGTCAGTTAAAAATGACTTCGCTTTGGGGATAAAGGCGCAATGCAATAGAAAGAGGTTCCCTGTATGTTGACCAAAGGATTCTAAAGTCTAAAACTACAGCTAAGAAACAATACTTCCTGGTCAACCTTGTTGTGTGATTTGTGAGTGGCTGCTGTAAGAATAACAGAAAGAGGCCAAGCAGGAACAAAATGAGGATCAATTAAACAAAGCAAAGGCAAACTGAACGGAGCACTGTAAACTCTCCAGCTATTTCTGTTCACAGCTAAAGTTTCACTCTCGGCCAGGATCAACAAGCAAAAGGATCCAGAGCCTGGATTCTCGGCGTGGGTGCGGCGGTCTCCCAGCGTGGGGGCGGCAGTCTCCTAAAGCTGATGCGAGGGGTGGGAGATGGCTCCGTGGGAAAAGTGCCTGCTGCACAAACAGACCTCTGAGTTCGATCCTTAGCATACATTAAACAAACAAGATGTAGACAGAAGTCTGTTGTATTCACAGCACTGGGCAGTGGGGACAGGCAGATTCCCATCAGGTTTTGTGAGAGACCCTGCCTCAAAAGATAATGTGGAGAACAATTGAGGAAAACATGTACATGTGAACATGTGCATGCATGTATAAGGACTACATGCATGTATGCACACACACACGCACACATACACACACACAGGGGATATTAAATGCTTCAAAAGTAGGATTGGAAGATAACAGGTCTGCATTCGGTAAAAAGAGGGTTTCTCTCCCTGACACCCACCAAGCATGTTATAGTCCACAGTCTCTCTCCGGTCAAGCAGGGCTTTAATGTATATGTGGCAGTATGGGACCAAATCACAGAAGGGTTTGCTGAACCCCACTCACCTATGGTAGGAAAGAAAAGCCAGCAGGAACAGCAGACATGCTAACACGTCAGCTCTGCCCACGATGCCAGCCACCTAAAAAGTGTAACACAACGAAAAATGTAAAACTTGGATATTATTGTCACGGTATCTTGTGGAAATGCATGTGATTATGAACATGGGAATAGCACAGCAGAAACCATATTATTTACAGGTGGCAACCTATGGACTAAACCCCTGATCACCTCTGATGACAATGTATGCTTCGTGGTACAATACAGAAAGAAAAAAGGGAAATAAAGGGACTGAATTTCCATACTTAACCTGCTTCCCTGGTTCTCTTTCACAGAGGATCAATGCTCAGTATCAAAGTTTGTTCACCTATTGACTTATTAAAACACACTTTGAGGGTGGTGGGCATAGCTCAGGGGTAGAGTGCTTGGCTAGACTGTACAATGCCCTGGGTGCGAGCCTCAGTGAACCCTATCAGCACACGTGAGTGACAGGCTCATGTCTGTGCTCATCACAGAGAGTGGGGCAGTGATGTGTCACAGAGAACTTACATAGTGGAGGGAAACCAAAACCAGAGAAATGCTTTTAACGAGGGGGACTCCTGATTGCTAGAGAATATATGTTTGTGTGTGAGTGTGCGTGTGCACAGACGCATGTCTGTGTGGTTTCATAGGTCTGTCAATACCCCACAATGCACTGCCCCACCTCAGACAAACACTGGCTCTCTGGAAAAGTGTCTGATCCTAGGGCTGAGGCTCAAGGATCGTTGTCTCATGTCAGAATATAAAAGCACTCAAAAAATGTTAGTCAAAAAGAAAAAAAATCCAAAGAAAGGGGGCTCCCACCGAACAAACCTGAGAAAACTTGATCCAAACAAGGAGCATCATATATTATGAACCATTGAAAACACAGAAACCCACAGTCCACACGGATGACAGGCGGGTGAAGAGGGTCACCAGTGTATAAACACACACCACCAATAAATGAACGAGGGAGACTCTGCCCCACTAAAAAGCCAGGCTGCGTGTGTGGCTAGAGCAGTCAGGCTGGAAAATAGCCGCTGGCTTCTAGAAGAGCAAAGAGAAAGAAGCCAGAAATGTCCATCGAGCTGGGCGGGTAACTCCGTAGTAAAGCGTTTGTCCAGCAAGCCCAAGGCCCTGGGTTCAATCCTCAGCACCATTAAAACGAACATAAACAAGGGAACAACAGATGTTAACTCTAGGATATGTAAGCTATCTGAGTGCAAGGTAACTACATGACTTCAAAACATTTCCTCGCCAACTTAACTTTCAAAAGAATAAAAGGATGAAGATACTACGAGGCTGTATTAACACAGAACACCACGTCCACAAGGAAATAAAAATGAAAATTATCTTCAAAGATAAGACAAAGATGCCATGCAGGCCTGTTCTAGCCAAGGATATAGACCTAATCACATGCATGAGAACAATCAATCAGACAAATTCCAGGTGAGATGCAATCTATAAGAAGGAGGATGTAAATATATTATCAAACATATATATAGACTTTAAATTATAGCATATCAATCTGAATTACGATCTTATTACATTTGTATTACATTGTATTTTTATTTATCATGATCCTAATTATGTTACTACTTATAACTAAGAATAAGATAAAAATCATAACCTTATAGGTCAAGTATGTTACATATATATGTACATTATATACTGATAATGATATTAAATTTATACATTTAAAATATATTATCTATTTGAATATAATATATTATTTTTATTTTCAAGGCATTTTAATATACTATGCCTCTAAGAAGTATTTGTAGTATGCATTATACAGTATATATTTATATAACATTTATAAGTTGCACTCAAATATATTAAAAACATTTTATATTATATATCTTAATATAAACCCCAAATCATACTGAAATTTATATATTATGTGATAGAATGACAGTGCTCAGGACGAAAAGAGATGAAACCAAAACCATGAATAATTCTCTCCATGCTAGGAAATACAGAACTGAATTATTGATGTGCGAAGGAGCATGAATTATGCAGCCCTCTCTAACTGTTTCAGAAAACAAACAATATTTTTATATAGAGGGAGGAAGAGAGGAACGACAGCACAAAACCAGCAAAACTTAAAAATCAGCGAGCCCTGATAAGGAACACAGAACGAGAGTGAGCATTAAACTTGAAGTTCTCTTCAGACGTGCTGTCTAAGAATGGGCACGTGGGGGCAACGAGGGATGCTTTACAAACCCCAAGTTACCATGCTCCATAAATACTCTCTCTCTCTCCCTCTCTCTCTGTTACTCTCTCTCTCTCTCTGTTTCTCTCTCTCTCTCTCTGTTTCTCTCTCTCTGTGTTTCTCTCTCTCTCTCTGTGTTTCTCTCTCTCTCTCTCTCTCTCTCTCTGTTTTTTCTCTCTCTCTGTTTCTCTCTCTCTCTGTGTTTCTCTCTCTCTGTTTCTCTCTCTTTCTCTCTGTTTTTCTCTCTCTGTTTTTCTCTCTGTTTCTCTCTCTGTGTTTCTCTCTCTCTCTGTCTCTCTCTCTCTGTGTCTCTCTCTCTGTCTCTGTCTCTCTCTCATACAAGATATAAAATTGTAAAGGAGAAACAGGAACACAGCTTTTAAAGTAGTTCTGTTTTAGTTTGCTTTCTATGGCTGTCACAAAGGACCATGACCACGACCTGAGGAGGAAAGGGCTTATCTCCTCTCACAGCAGAACTCAAGGAAGAACCTGGAGGCAGGAACCGAAACAGAGGTCACAGGGACATGCTGCTCTCTGGCTTGTTCTCCGTGACTTGTTCTCACACATATCTGTTTCTACTACCCAGGTCCTTCTGCACAAGGACGGCACAGCACCCAGTGCTCTGGGCCCTTCCACATCAACAAGCTATCAGGAAAACGACTGGCCTTCGGGCCAAACTTATGGGGTATTTTGCTAACAGAGGTTTCCTCTTCTCAGATGACTCTAACCCAGCACAGCATCCCCAGGAAGAGCTGGGCCAGGAGTCGTCTACATGGGAGATAAGTAAGGCTGATCCCTCAGGCACAGAGAAGGCCCCAGGTCCATGTGCACAGCAGAATCAGCCAACACGAAGAGAAAATGATGTTCAGAGACTAAAACCACTAACATACTGTTATGCGCACTCAGAACTGAAGCATTATTTAAATAATCTTAACAGTAACAGCCAGGAGCCCGATATCGGGGTAAAACCCAGAAGATCAGAGAACCAGGAGCAGCTGCCAGTGGCCTTGTGTCCTTCCTCAGTTCAAAAGGCTGAGGTCCTGTCTGCACCCCAGCTTATAACTTCGTGTCTCCACCTCCCAAGTGCTGGGACTGAAGGAGTGAGCCCTGAGTACTGAGAGTCAAATTCTCTGTCAACACCGACCAGCTAACTCCTCCCTCTGATCTGCAGGCAAGCTTTATTTGTCAGAACACAAACAAAATATCACACAACACAAAATACAGTCACAAGAGAGGCCATGGCATTGGTGCAGAAGAGCCCCTGACTTCTGAAACTCAACCGAGGCCCCAGTTTGCTGTCTTGGGTGTTAACAACACCTGATGGCTGCTGCCGATGAGGTGACACGTGGAGGTTCTGTATCGTGTAGGTTTTAGGGAGGGTGAAACTCTCGCCCCCAATATAGCACTTCCTGTGTGTGGCTATAGAAACTATCCTACACGGTGTCTTTCTCTGGCTTTATTGGGTAGCTTAGTATGCCTACCAGTTAAAAATCTAAAATCTATGTGTGTACATATGGATTCACAGCAGGTCACATGCTGGGAAAACTTCAAATCCATCCTATGAGAAACCTGAAGGCAGTCCAAGAACCTCAAGGGCAGCACAGAGCTGGAAGCTGTGACCCGACATGGCTGCTTGGACCACACGCAGTGCTCATTAATTGGTTAATCTATAAGGAGCCTGAGAGCAACATCCGAGAAGCCGCATGACTCCGGTGAGAGAGGCCGTGACAGTGTGAACAAAGGTGTAAGACCCCAGCTCAGTGGCTGGAGAGATGGCTCAGAGGTTAAGAGCATTGCCTGTTCTTCCAAAGGTCCTGAGTTCAATTCCCAGCAACCACATGGTGGCTCAAACCATCTGTAAAGGGGTCTGGTGCCCTCTTCTGGCCTGCAGGCATACACACAGGCAGAATATTATACACATAATAAATAAATAAATATTAAAAAAAAAAAAGACCCCAGCTCAGACTCAGGCGGAGCAACGACTGTGCACATCACAGTTGAGGCTCAGACGGGCTCCGTGGCCGCTGGCGACTTAGAACGTTTAACTCAGCGTGAACTCAAGAGAAGGTTGAGAAGACAGTCCACATGGCCTGCCATGAAGCCCTGGGGCGAAGCCCAGAGGGATGCTCATCCCAGAACAAATGATGTGGCCGACAGCAAGGCTTGCAAGTTGATTCTGAATATAGCAAAGTGAAGTACAGCAGTCACAAACTGTGCAAACATAAAGACTAGTTCCTGCAAAGTGTCTTGAAGCCCTGATCCTCACTCTGAGCCAATCTGGAAGGAGCAGAAGACTCTGCCAGCCAAATGCACCAAGACATAAAGAATATACTTGCTGGGTATGATGACTCATGCCTGTCATCCCAGCGCTGGAAGGCTCAGGCAGGAAGATCACAAGTTCAAGACCAGCCTGGGCTACCGAGCAAGCCCTCACCTCAACAGTAACACCATAATGTAGAATCCCATTAGCAGAGGTTCAGAGAGGGTGTAACAGTGGGAGTGCTGATGCTCACGGGCTCCTCGTGAGGCCAAACCACAGTGCGCACATTAAACACCTGCTCTGTGCCCTGCTGAGCTGAGGTCTTGGCCAAAGTGTCTGACGTCTAAAACAGAGTAAGCATCCCTATCAAATGCTTGGCTCCGGGTGCCATTTCCTCCGACTCTGCTACTCAGTGGCATCTTGTTCATTCATCGTGGTCCTGATCCAGTGAGTGAGAACTGCTGGGGAACACTGGCCTGTATCCTGTCAATGATATTTTAAGTAAATGCTGATTGGCCAGTAGCCAGGCAAAAAGTATAGGCGGGACAACCAGATAGGAAGTAGAGGAGGGTCAATGAGAACAGGAGAA